TTTTCGAGATTTCGTCGGGGCACAGAAAATCGAGGATTCAACCGAATCCAAAAATTTTTTCGCAGAAGTATTTCAAATAACATGTAGATTCGTTTTAGCGAAAAAAAAAATTGGGGGGTTAAGTGCACTTTAATGCTTTTACAAATATTTTGGTCAAAAAATGGTTCAAAATATGGTAACTTTTTGGCCTAAAACCGATCATGAAGCCGTTGACCGCGATATCTCTTAGACGTTAACTGAAAGAATTTTGTGATAATATTCTACCCACTGCATTACCACCTTATTATGTAACCCTACAAAGAATGTGAACAAAATCTGAGAGGGTCGATGTAGACTCATATTTTAATACTGCACGGTTTCAGATGGATGCCCTCTTAAGACGGGCAGAAGACGCGTACGTATTTTACGTCTTGCCGAACTATCCTTCGAAATTCGTCTTGAACGACGCACTACGAGAGATAGTTCGTCTAGATGCATAATACGTCTTGTGCCCATCTTTATAGCATAAACTTCAAATTGTCGCCCAAGTTTGTCCAGACAGATAATGCTTCTTTAGTGCAAAAACGGTGCTCAGAACTAATCGGAAGTTCCAGTGAACCGATTCTCTAGGAAATAATCAAGGTAATTATCGATTAGCTCAAGGTATTATACTCAGTTTGCTGAAGTTTACTCAAGAATGCTTCAAGGTTGTCTCAAAGTCACACAATCGTGGGATCACGCTCACAATCGAAGTCAGCTACATTAACCTGGTCATCGATCCCCGCTCTGATGCAATGTGTTTGCATGTTGTAATCAAATTAAAACGAAGAAGAAACTCATGTTTTGTTATGGTAGAGAACTACGCCACACACAGAGAACTTGCTGGTAAACAGCTACGAACCACGCAAAGAACTTGCTGGTAAACAGTTACGCAACACGCAAAGAAATTGCTGGTATTAAACAGCTACGCAACACGAAAAACAGTTACGCTATTTCCTTGAGGGCGACCTTTGAACTTTCAGGAGTTGATGAGGGAAGGGTGGGTTATTTGAGTTGAGCATGAATTTTTGTTTATTTTTGGACCCTGAACCTTCGAGATATATCTTTCTCAGCCCTTAATGATTTTCTTTTCTTGTTAGTATGTACTTTTTTTGTCTAAAAGCAGCTTGGATGATTTTTTTTTTCATCACAATTACCCCATACCACTCCCCTCCGTAGAACATTTTACATAGACAGCATCCAGCCATCCAGTCTGCCTGAGGACCACCTCGTTTCTAAGTTACATAGGTCGGACATTTGCATGTCCTCCCAGGAAGAGAAATAAGCTAAATACCTCACATCATAATTTTATCTATGCCATTTTCACCTGTCTTCATACGCTTCTAAGGCATGAGGAACAAATTAGTAATAGTAATTGGACCGGTTGAAATTGCGAGCACGTTTTCTCCCTGAATTGTACAACACGAGGTCCAATTACTAATTAATCGTATTTATGACAATTTTAAAAATTAAAAAGTCTTTGGGGAACCTCATTTTGAGCGAAAAAGTAAATAGTGCTTTCCGTAAATTTTAAGAAGGAATCCATCAAAGCGCACGTTATCGACGTTCGAATCACGAGGGTATTCAATTACAGGTATCCAATTCCAAAAAGTTGTAATTGGATACCTGCAATTGTACACCCACGTGATCGCACGCCAATGACGGGACAAATAGGCGCGCGCAGAACCAATCACGATCGAAAATTTTGTTAAAGATACGATTAAGAGAAATAATGCGTGCTAAATACGAACAACTGAAAGAGTATGTTGCAAGATAAGGGTGCCATAAATATAAGAGACACGATACGTCAAAATGTTAATAGCCATTTTCAGATAGATTTTCAGATCTCTAATTTGAATTATGACAAACTTCACCGTGGATGCGATTTAATGTCTGTTTATAGCTGTGCTGAACTTAAAGAAAAGTACGATGCGTTCCTGGCAAATAGGGAAAAAGAACTAACTCTTGTTACAACCAGGTAAATATATTATTATCTTACTGCTACATAAATTACCATGCGCTATAGGCGCAATGTGTGAATGAAGGAGCGCTTCCCATTTCCGTGGAAAAAACGATGAGATTCTTCCAAAAAAAGGAACTGTACAACTTATTAACTGGCAAACAAAATAAGACAAGACGGGTTTGTGCCATATAACAGCATGTGGACAGCCTCCCGTGGAGAGCACTCTTCGATTGTATTTCACGCAGAAGCGGTCGCGTATACACGTTATTCCAAAATGGCCGCCATTTAAGTATTCTTTTGTTTACTTGCAAATTAGCCCTTGTTGCCTCGCTCTTAAACTCGAAATTCAAAAGAATATTTTCCCTTAAACAAGGCAACAAGGGCTCATTTTCAAGTAAACAAAAGAATACTAAAATAGCGACCATTTTGGAATAAGGTGTATTTAAGGTAAAGTCTGCATGCGAGCCAAGTGGCCCATCAGGCCGGAGCTTATCCCGGTTTCTGTAGCATGAAGGGAGCATGTTAATAGTGTCGTTTTCTTATATACGTTTTGTAGTAATAACAAATTGGGTCAGGAACTTCGTGCCAAGGAGGAGCAAGTGAAAGAGTATATAGCAGGGTGAGGTCATATAACAATACCTCTTTTTAAATTTAATACATGATAGATTTTCTATCTGGAAACCAGCAAACCTCGAGGTTATTTCGCCCCAAAACGTGTAAAAGAAACGATATGTCCAGCTAGAAGGCCAGTGCCGTTTGTTTCGAGGATTCATGAATGCCCCGTAAGGTTGCAATCGAAGTTTTGTAATCTGGCCTGAAAGGATGTTGCCATAGCAATGTTAAGAACCTCGAACAAACATCATATTTAGATTTCTGAAAAGCGTCCCATGGTTTAAACTCTGGGATTCCCAAATCATCCGGGGAGTTAAATGAGCGAAACGGAACGCTTATATTATAACCGGTATGCGAAGACATGTATTCATTACATGGCTTGTGTTTGTTGCCGATATAACAATCGCTCTGATTGGCTAATTCTGGGGCATTATTCCCCCATGATGGCCACGGACCTGCAAAAACAAAGCAAAAAGCCATATAATAAAGAGCTTATTAACCTCGAGCGTATGGTCTTTACTAAAAAATCTCAAACCTCGGCCCTGCCGTATTGACCTCGCTATCGCAAGGTCAATACGGATAGGTCTCGGTTCCAGATTTTCCCGTAAAGACCTCACTCTCGCTAAATAAGTAGTTAGCAATCCCAGAAAGCTTGAACAATGTCAGGAGCCGAACTGCATGTAACCTAAATCTTTTCCATTTATTGTTTTCAATTCAAGGTGCAACCAACTTAAATTTAGTCTGGCAAATAAAGATGAAGAACTGAAAGGAATGAAAACAAGGTAAAACGTTAAACTTTTTAATTGGCAAGCAAAATAAGGCAAATGGGTCTGGACTGTATGACAGCATGTGGACAGCCTCCTGTGGAGAGAACTCTTCCATTGTATTTCACGCAGAAGCGGCCGCGTTCTTAAAGGAGCATGTTAATAGTGTCGTTTTCTTATATCCGTTTTGTAGTAATAACGAATTGGGTCAGGAACTTCGTGCCAAGGAGGAGCAAGTGAAAGAGTATATAGCAGGGTGAGGTGATAGAATAATACTTCTTTTTAAATTAAATGCATGATAGATTTTCTATCTGGAAACCAGCAAAACCCGAGGTTGTTTCGCAAAGCCAGGTGATTTAAGCCCCAAAATGTGTAAAAGAAACGATATATCCAACTAGAAGCCCAGTGTCGTGTGTTGCGAGAATTCATGAATGCCCATAAGGTTGCAGTTGAAGTTTGTATAACCGAGTTTTCCTCAACAATTACGAGCCACACAATTTGCACATCTCCAAAGAAATCGTACAGCAGTCTCGCAAAACTTGTTTTTTTTTTAATTAGTTTCGAAAGCAAGGAAAACTAGATCACCTGGCTTGAAAGTATGACTAAAGCGATGTTTCCATTGCAATGTTTTGAACCTTGGACAAACATCATATATAGATGTCTGAAAAGCGTCTCATGGCTTAAACTCTGGAATCCTCAAATCATTCGGGGAGTTAAATACGTACGTCCGGGGAGTTAAATGAGGGAAACTGAACGCATTGTAACTGGCATGGTATGCGAAGACTTGCATTTATTATATGGCTTGTGTTTGTAGCCGATATAACAATCGCTCTGATTGGCTAATTCTAGGGCATTATTCCCCCGTAATGGCCACGGGCCTGCAAAAATAAAGCAAAAATCCCTATAATAACAACTTATTAACCTCGAATGTTCAGTCTTTACTGGAAAATCTTAAACCTCGGCCTTGCCGTGTTGACTTCGCTATCGCTAGATCAATACGGATAGGTCTCGGTTCGAGATTTTCCCACAAAGACCTCGCTCTTAGTTAATCGGTAGTTGGTAATCCCAGAAAGCTTGAACAATATCAGGAACCCAACATACGTGCATGTAACCCAAATTTTTGGCATTTATTGTTTTCAATTCAAGGTGCAACCAACTTAAATTTATTCTGGCAAATAAAGATGAAGAATTGAAGGGAATGAAAACAAGGTAAAACGTTGCTCCAACTGTAGTATATAGCTTTTGATTACAAGAAGACTAACGAGAAGTAAAACCAGGGTAAAAGCTAAACTACTGATATCCCGATTGCATCTCAGTTTCTTGTGCGCAATCCCTCTAATACTGAACTCGAAACTTAATTCTTATGATATCATGCAATAACTTGTAAATGTTATTCAGGCTGTTCTCCAAAACAATTCTCTTTCCCTGTGCTTCCTCTTCTTCCTCTTGCGGCTACTGCCCACAAAGCAGACACAGTATTCCTCAGACGTTTTAGTCAACCACAAACTGCCATGCCACCAGACTGCAAGACCATCATAAATCTCGCCGAAGTATCTCAAAATCAGACTGTAAATGTGTAGTAATTGTAAAGTCACCATGGCTTTCGGGAACATTGCTTTGCTGCACATATAGCAAAACTTATTATTTGAATGGGGAAATTCCACTGACACCCAATAGGAATTTAGGTTACTCTTTCGACTGTTGTCACCAAGTGCGCAGATACAACGTGTTGCTATCTCTGTCTCCCCCACTGGTTATTGTGTGGTGAATGGATGGTTTCGTGCAATTTAAATTAAAGTGTATAATGTTATGACAGATATTTCATATTTGCCTGATGGAATCTACATGAGATCAAGATATGAAAATCGAAAAACAGTAGATATTACTTTTCTCCATCGCCTTCTAGCCGTCTGAAAAAGTGAAACCTCAAGTCCGGTTGGGTCAGAAGCCCCGGGGGTTAAGGCCTGGGACTAGTCAGACTGTGACGTTAAAACAGGAACGAGGGTCTACATATCTTTCCTGAATATTTACTTTTAAAGGCTGGCTTATCTCAGCGAAAAACAAGTGAAGAAAGACCAGAGGAAGGTTGAGGACACTACTGCTTCCAATAGGCCGTCGGACGTGGAGAAAGACTTCGCTCTATTTTTGGACGAAGATAGAATGGATGCATTTGATACAATGCAAGAAGTATATGGATCCGAAGAGGAAATAGACGTCAGTATTTCTTACCCACGACTAGCATGCATCATATTTGAGGTGAGGAATCCTCGAAGGATTTCAGTGCCATTGTGCTTAGCAATGTAGTACCTTGACTTGCTCGTGGACTTGGTGGAGTGGGTACAGATTCTGAAATTCGAGAAACAAGGCGCAAAAGAGAACCACCAAAACTTTCATTGCTTCAAATTATAGCATCAAGACAAATTTTGGTATTGTTTGAAGTTTTTTAATCAGAGTAATGTTTAAGTGTCAGTCCATTCACTATTATTATGCAAAAAGTCAAAATAAAAAATGTTTCTGAGATATACTCGTATATTTTACATGTATATTTTATTTGCGTGATACACCATTGTTGAAGACATTGGTGTTAACTTCTTTTATATCAGATCTCGTTCACGCAAAATTTAAATTTTATCAACTTTCATTTTCTTGTTTATCGTTTCATGGAAATAACAAAATACATTGCATTAAACTTCAATCTATTGCTAGTGTAATTTTCACGTTGATCAGATGGAGGGAAGGCTTTTAAAAGCTGGTTGAAAATGGTGTGCTACAGAAAAAAGAACTCGAGAAACTTCATTGATTTTCACACGTCAAACGCTCGCTGCTTAACTTCACTACTTTTGCACAACTTTTTTCTCTTAACAGGCATCCTACGAACAGACGAAGGAGACAAAAGAAGCAGCGCTTGATCTGTTTAAGGGTATAATTGCAACTATGATTAACAGAGCTCCGATAATGGGACAAAAGTTTTCCTCAAGTGTAAAGGTATAAAATAATCCATATCAGATTATTTTACAATCTTCTTTTAGACCACATGAGTGATTTTGGGTAGCAGCAAAATAGCTTTCTTTTAATTATAACATCCTACTTAAACGCTGTTGGTAAGTTAACATTTACATCTTGGACCTTTGCTTTAACTCTAGTTCATTGAGTGCAGATCCACTAAACTTGATTATTACTTATGGATCTTCTTTTGATCAAACTGGTATTTTTTTCATAACATAAGTGAATACTCACATGTTCATTCCAATTCTCAGTGAAGCTCAGCTAAAAAGAACCTCTTGCTTTGGCTTGTTTAATTTAAGTAATTACGTAGGTTTTAAAAAAAACAAACAAAATAGCGCAAATTTATTGAAATAACAGACGAAATAAAACACAGACCCACGAACAGTTAAGTTAAATACACTAATTCATTTCTTCTTCTTTTTCCTCCTTTTTTCCCTTTTCCCTGTCCTTCTTCTTCTTTTCTTTTCTTTTTTTTTTTTGTTTCTCCCTTTCTTTCTTTTTTTCTTTTCTTTTTTATTTGTCTCCTTTCCCTCAATTTCTTTTCTTTATACCACTGACTGAGAAGAAGAAAAGATTGCTTTACGATACCCTATTTAGCGAAACGGAGAGCAACCCGGAATCGGAATACCCCACCGATGTCCTTGATGCTCTCGTGCTTTCAATGAAAGAAAATGCACACAAATGCAACCTCGAGTCCTTGGAACAAGTATGTAACCAACTTAATAGACATAGAGAGTTTATGCAGCAGAAAGCTGTATACAAGTATCTTGTATCTTGACAAACCATTTTGTGTTTGCTGGTTAAGTTTTCTTATTATTCCAATAGAGAAGAACTTTTGTCCAGGGCGGAAGAATATTAGCCTCTGGATGAAATGTGAATTCAGGGCGGCCTTTTTTCCGGAATCTAGAGTTCAGATGCGTGTGGCCGCAGTTTGATACCTTAATGTACCTATATATATGACTTGATTTATGAAAACTGTGTCAATACTTCGCACCATATCACCCATATCCAGTTTGATTTCACGACTGCTAAAGACCTTTAAATCACTTGTGACTGATGAAAATTTAAAGTAAATAAATAAAATAAAAGGAGCAAGAAAAGGAAGACAAGAGAATGGGGAACAAAATACTGACATTCCCTTTAATTTTTGTATCGTCCACTTAGTTACATTCGTCTATTTCGTCAACACTCTTTTCACTTATGTTTGTAAAGTTATTTATTGTACATATAGCGAGAATTTTACGCAATAAACCTTGCAAATAGAATTCTATATGTGCTATATTTCCACATGTGAAAAAAGCGATACGTCCAATCAGCTTCGCGTATGGCGTTCTTCCCATGTGAAAATATAACCAATCACCGTTCAGAGTAGAATCACTTAGCCAATCAGAGT